ATTCGGTACTAATTAAAATCTAAATTTTAGTTTAAGTTAAAGTTAACAATTCATTTCAATAACTTATTTTATGAATTTCACAACTTTTCAATCATACATTTTATCATTTTTCTTATCAAAATTTACTAAAAATATGATTTAAAGCCCACGATACTCATTCTAATTCAAACATCACCACTAAGCTGGCGACTTTTATTAGTCAAATATTTTGATTTGTCCAAAAAATCTATAGTGTACTAATCATTACAATTGAAGTAAATAAATAAAAATAAATTATAAAAGAAAAGTCTTCATGCCACTAAAAATGCTCCATCTAGAATGATCAAATTTGTCGTGTTTGATGATCATTATTTTATGAAAGTAAAGTCTTCGATAAGAATTTTTTGGAGAATATGTGGTTTAAAAGTAAAGAAAAATTTTGCACGTAAATCTAAACTTTTTTTTTACTTTTTAGCGCAAATTCTTCAAGAAATCACTATTCAAAATTTATTTTCTGAAAAAAAATGGCCATCAAACACGACTTATTATTTTGATAATTAAATAAATTAGATCATTTTATTGCATTAATTGTCAAGAATTAAATTCTTAACATTAACAAAAAAAAGAAAAAGCAATCAATACATTATCTTTAAGAGAAAATGAGTCAACTCATTTAGCCTAAAGAAATTTTGGGGGTGTCAATTTCGTATTCATTACATATTCAGGCACCGTTTGGTAGCCATTNATTCGGTACTAATTAAAATCTAAATATTGGTTTAAGTTAAAGTTAACAATTCATTTCAATAACTTATTTTATGAATTTCACAACTTTTCAATCATACATTTTATTATTTTTCTTATCAAAATTTATTAAAAATATGATTTCAAGCCCACGATACTCATTCTAATTCAAACATCACCACTAAGCTGGCGACTTTTATTAGTCAAATATTTTGATTTGTCCAAAAAATCTGATAGTGTACTAATCATTACAATTGAAGTAAATAAATAAAAATAAATTATAAAAGAAAAGTCTTCATGCCACTAAAAATGCTCCATCTAGAATGATCAAATTTGTCGTGTTTGATGATCATTATTTTATGAAAGTGAAGTCTTCGATAATGATTTTTTGGAGAATATGTGGTTTAAAAATAGAGAAAAATTTTGCACGTAAATCTAAACTTTTTTTACTTTTTAGCGCAAATTCTTCAAGAAATCACTATTCAAAATTTATTTTCTGAAAAAAAATGGCCATCAAACACGACTTATTATTTTGATAATTAAATAAATTAGATCATTTTATTGCATTCATTGTCAAGAATTAAATTCTTAACATTAACAAAAAAAAAAAGAAAAAGCAATCAATACATTATCTTTAAGAGAAAATGAGTCAACTCATTTAGCCTAAAGAAATTTTGGGGGTGTCAATTTCGTATTCATTACATATTCACTTACGTTAATCCTTCCAAATTATAGTCCAAACAAAGAAAAGTAAAAAGCTGAAGCACCTGTTTGGTTTAGATAAATAATAAAATTTTAATAAATTTGAATGAATGTCATGCTATGGATCAATAGCCAGTGGCAGTTTTCTTTATAAAGCAAGAGGAATACCCATTATTTTTACCTGTAATTCCATTTCTTCCTCTACTTGAAAACCCTTCAGATTCCAGTATAATAATGGCTGCAGAAAGCAGTGTAAAAGTGCCCAGAATCAAGCTGGGTTCACAGGGACTGGAAGTGTCTGCGCAAGGACTCGGATGCATGAGCATGTCCGCGTTCTACGGTCCGCCCAAGCCGGAACCCGAAATGATCAAGCTCGTTCACTATGCCATCAACTCCGGCATCACCTTCCTCGACACTTCCGATGTCTATGGACCGCATACCAATGAAATCCTCCTCGGGAAGGTACTATCTCTTTACATATTTCCCGTCTGTAATTTTTGAGCATGATGCGTTTATCATGTTCGACTAAATGCTGCAACGAGGATTTTATGATACTGTAGCATGGAGCTCCGATAAAAGCAATATAACGTTGATTTAATAAATTAATTTCCAACTAATTTTCATTTTGAGGTAAGTCTTTTATGTACTTCCTGGAGAGTGTTCTTGGCCTTACTCTGGTTTGTTTATTTATTGTTATGTACTTCTTATAGACGCCAGTGTGTAACAATCAATTTTAATTTTAATGTTTATGTACTGTTTGCTATCAAATTGAAAGGCTTTGAAGGATGGGTTGAGGGAGAAAGTGGAGTTGGCTACGAAATTTGGGATTACATTTCAGGATAGCCAGATGATTGTACAAGGAGACCCTGCTTATGTAAGAGCTGCCTGCGAGGCCAGCTTGAAGCGGCTTGATATTGATTGCATTGATCTTTATTACCAACATCGCATTGACACACATGTACCTATCGAAGTCACGGTTAGCCCTTATTCTCCTTCGTATTTATGTATCTCGTGTATCCTTAATATACTGAAAAAATTGCCATTATTATTGATATCAAACCAATAGAAAATCCATATAAACAATTAGGCCAAATAAAGAACTTCAATTTCCTTGATTGATTTCTTCACCAACTTCAGTATTCAATTTCAGGGAAAAAAAAAAAGCTGTTCATTAACCTTTTGAGGTTGATTGAACCACTATAAATCCTCGTGTCCTTATTCTCTTCTACTTTTCCGGTTACAAAAGCCTTAACTTGCTTTTATTTATTTCTAAAAGCTATGGTTATTTGATGAAAGCTTGCATCAAGCTCATCTTTTTTGTACTTCTTTATAATTGATAATCTGCATATTGTAAATTTGAGTATTAGCTCTTGTTTGATTCCACATGTTTCTTACTTAAGTCCCTTCTTCTTCCTTTGGATATCTCTTTATGCAAGATTGGAGAACTAAAGAAACTAGTGGAAGAAGGTAAGGTAAAATATATAGGCCTATCAGAGGCCTCGGCCTCAACAATCAGAAGAGCACATGCTGTTCATCCAATAACAGCAGTGCAGTTGGAGTGGTCTTTGTGGTCAAGAGATGTGGAGAAAGAAATAATTCCTACTTGCAGGTTTGACGATTGTTGTGATCATTTTTCCCTTTTTGAGCCAGCAAGGTATATAAATTTCTAACTCTATCCTTGGTTCAATTGTTAGAGAACTTGGCATTGGAATAGTAGCATACAGTCCTCTTGGACGGGGATTCTTGTCCTCCGGTCCAAAACTGGTTGAAACTTTATCTGAAGGGGACGGTCGAAAGGTTTGTATGCTTTATACTTCGTTTCATTCAGAGTTCGAATTTTAACTATAAATATATTGTGTATCTGTTGTGCAAACCATCAACATTTTTTATTTATATATGATACATATATAGCTAAGATTCATTGGAATTAAAAAATCTAATTAAGTTATGTAGTTGCAAATGCATAATATTAGGTAATTTTGCCTACTGTATTTAGAGGCTGAATTTATCGCACTCCCAAAATGTTTTTGTTTTTGGATACAATCTACAACGGTAACTATAGTATATAAGCTCAACATCGTTTTGGTAGGTGCAGTTATAGTTTTGACTTTGAAAGATGTGCTTTGCATCTTTTGCAGTATCTTCCAAGATTCCAACCCGAGAATCTGGAGCATAATAAGAGATTGTTTGATGGTGTCAATGATATGGCAAATAGAAAGGGGTGCACCCCTTCACATCTAGCTTTAGCATGGGTCCATCATCAAGGAACCGATGTGTGTCCCATACCTGGTACCACAAAAATCGAGAATCTTACTAAAAACATTGAAGC